TCAAAATACGCGCAGTGTAAAGGTTCAGGTCTGCATGAGACATCATTTCGGTCCGGATCTGGACTGGAGTCTGCCTTTTAGTGACCTAGGCTGTAGAACATCAGCATGTGTAGCACATGTGTAATCAAACGTATACTGGCGATATAAAGAGAGACAGCAATAGGCATACACCAGCCAACTACTTAATATATTTTATATGACACAGCGCCCCCAGAGGTGAACCAGAGCACTACACTGCCTCAACCAGTGCACTTCTTCCATGTTTGAATAGGCAATGTGTAAATTTTGCGATTTTGACCATTGAAGTGTGGAAATAATTCAGAAAACAGTTTTATAGAACAGTCTAGTGGTTAAATGTATTTTCCCTTATCATTCTTAATATTTTACTTTTCATGATGACAGATGAGGCATTTTTCTTTCACCGTGTATAAATAAAAGTTGAATGGAAAAAAAATTGCTTCACCTGCCCCCTGACTGCACGTCACTGAGGCCCTACTGAATCAGATTGACTCTAGAAACATAAAAGTTGATATTATACAGGAACATGTGCATTGATTACTTTTTGAGAGTCTTAAAATTTGTCCAATGAATAATGAAATATTTTGATAACAGAGAAACACACGCATACATGCCTCAGTCTGGAGGAAGTCTCTTGGATGAGAGACGAAACGTTTCTAGATTTTTTTGCTTTGTTTTGTTTTTTGTTTTTTTGAATGTCCAGAGGACCAGATTGAACTTTTTTGGATTTTTCTACCTGGATTATTGAGCATGCATCAGGAAAACAGATGAATATTAAAACCAAAATACACAGAGTCATTTCCATCCTTTTTGGATACACAACAGTAAATTCATTACATTAAATGATGGAAATGAGTATAAAGATGTTTATTTAGGGAAACCAGCAGATTGTTTAATCTTAACTTTGATTTAGTCTCCCAACACAAGCACCTGTGGGGTTGCAGGCTACAGGAACAATTCTCTCTAAACAGGAGGACGACTTCTGGAGAACCAGGATGAATGGCTTATCAGCCACGACTGGCTGGGGTTAGAGAGGAAAGAGACAGACAAAAACAGAATGACAAGTCCAGTTGTGCTTTCTATGTGAAGAAAAACAAAGAACACAAAGTTAATGGCAGCATCCATCCATCCATCCATTATCTTTACCCGTTTATTCCATTTTGGGTCACGGGGATCGCTGGTGCCCATGTCCAGCAATCACTGTGCGAGGGGTGGGGTACACCCTGGACAGGTCGCAAGTCCATCACAGGGCCACATAGAGACAAACGAGACAAACAACCATTCACTCTCTCACTCACACCTAGGGACAATTTAAAGTTACCAATCAGCCTAACATGCATGTTTTTGGTCTGTGGGAGGAAACCAGTGTACCCGGAGAAAACCCACGCATGCACAGAGAGAACATGCAAACTCCACCCAGAAGGCCCCTGGACCGGGGTTTGAACCAGGGACCTGTTTGCTGAGAGGCAGCAGCTCTACCAGTTGCGCCACCGTGCTGCCTGTTAATGGCAGCAATAGTTACAAATACAAACTGGTAGAGTAGAGCAAGTAAAGAGCTGCAGAGCGACAAAATGTGTAGTGTTTAGCAGTATAACTAAAGGATAGCTCAGGAAACCCACGCCATCTCTAACTAGATTTATCAAAAAGGATAGTTTTAAGACTATTAAAAGTGGAAATGCTGTCAGCCTCAAGGACAGAAACTTGATATGTTTTCATAAAAAACTTTGCCATCCGTTCTATTTTTAGTTAACTCTAGGAACCACAAGTAAACCTGCAGTCTGAATGTGAAGTGCTCTGTCAGAAAAATCCATCCATCCATCCATTATCTTTACCCGTTTATTCCATTTTGGGTCACGGGGGTCGCTGGTGCCCATGTCCAGCAATCACTGTGCGAGGGGCGGGGTACACCCTGGACGGGTCGCAAGTCCATCACAGGGCCACATAGAGACAAACGAGACAAACAACCATTCACTCTCTCACTCACACCTAGGGACAATTTCGAGTTACCAATCAGCCTAACATGCATGTTTTTGGACTGTGGGAGGAAACCGGAGCACCCGGAGAAACCCCACGCATGCACGAAGAGAACATGCAAACTCCACCCAGAAAGGCCCCTGGACCGGGGTTTGAACCAGGGACCTGCTCGCTGAGAGGCAACAGCTCTACCAGTTGCGCCACCGTGCTGCCCTGTCAGAAAAATATGAAACAATAAGGTTTTTAATATAAGATGGAGTTTGGTTGTGGAGAACTTTGTTAGAAGATTTTAAATTTTATTCTGGACTTGACAGGGAGCCAATGGAGATAAGCTAAAACTGGAAAAATATGATCTCTCCTAATGCTTATAAGAACTGCAACAGCATTTCAGATCAAATGAAGACTTTTAAAATAGTTTCTCAGTGATCCTTGAGCCTGTTTTAAATAAAACATGTTGATCACATTTATATTTTAATGAATAGTTTTGACAATTAACAAATCAGATTTTAATAAACCTATAACTTTAGTTTATTTAAGGATATAATAAACATTTTATTTTTACTTTACTTTCAAATGAGAAGGTTCATTTCCAAAAAAAAAAAAATCATCAAATAAGAGCAAATCAAATACAAAGCAACTCACTGACCACTTTAAACTATGTGTGAGGCAAAATTAGAAATAGTAGGAGAAATAAGAAATCAGAAATAAAGACTAGAGAATTTGCATTTCCTGCAAAAATTCAGTGAATGCTTATTAATGAAGGATTTTGCTTGAAGCTGCTAAACAAGCTATAGAGCAGGACTAACTGCAATTAAATTCAACCAAATTGCTCAGGGGGCCAAAGTTACGGAAAGCCAGCAGCTCAGGGGTCGACATCCAGTAATTGAAGTCATTATGTAAATAAACCAGGTATTACAATGATCTGTTATCTTTTTAAGTGTGTGCTATGTGTTGTCATCATTGTATGTTCCCATACAATGACAACATTAGTTCTCTACATTTAACCCATCCATCCCCAGGTGGAGCAGGGCAGTTATGTAAGTGCCCAGGGAGCAATTACAGCTTAGGTGTCTTGCTCTGAGACACCACAACATACGGGCATGGTCGGGATTTGAACCTGCAACTTTCTGGACCCAAGTTGGCTGCCCTACCTCTACACCACAGTGGCCCCTAGTTAGGTTATTTTGCTGCATTAAATACTAAATGCAATAAAAAAAAAGTGTGAGTCAAAGAAATTACATTTCAAGATTTATTTCCTTTCAATAAAAGTAGATATATTCTAATGTGAAACAATATTAAAAACAAAAATGATACACTATGCCTCCTATTTAACACAAATATTATTCCAACATCTCTGACTTGCCAAATTTTTATGCATTTCAAAATAAAACATAAATGTTGACCGTTTTGATGTTCTCTGAACGGCCGACGTTGTTCCAGGGAGGTCCATGAAGAACCAGTTCTCATTTACAATGAAATGGCTGCGCAGACCACTTCTTCCTCAAACACTTCATAAATCACAAGTGAAGCGTCCGTGCCCCACTCAGATGTGAGCTTTAAGCAGAACTAAAACAGGTGGAGCAGAACTCAGCTGGGTTGAAAGTGAGCACGATGCGCGTGTGTCAAACAACTTCATGTCCTTTACTATAACGAATTAACTAATTTAATCCATCCTATCTGTAGAACTCAGTTGGAGAGGAAGAGTCCTGCGAGAGCGTGCAGCCTTTCGACTCATGCTTCTGCTAACTAAGGCCTAATTAAACAGTATTAACGGCAAAGCACAGATATTTGTAGGCCCCAAATTAAAGCAAAGATGTCTGTCTCTGTTGAACATTATTTATTTTCCTCCAGACTCACAAAGTTCTCCTTTTTGTAAGTATCGTGGAAACTTTAACAAACAGTGAGATATAAGTTTGCTGAGACTAAATGAAGAGATCAGATCTGATCTTGCAAGTGTCTTTATTTCGGAGGCTCCAACAAGCGTCCAAAGGCTCCCTCTGCCTGCAGTGCAAGGTGAAGCCCCGAACAAAGGATTCACTGACCTTTATAGAGCTTTAGTTACACAGACACACATTTCCTAATACAGAAGTTCTAAGAAGACAGGATGTTTCAGCAGGTGGTTTTCTTCAGATAAGATGAGGCCTGGAATCTAAGATCCAAGTCGGGAAAACAGCCAAGTCATCATTATTTTAACAGTAAGGGAGGATGAGGGATATGAGATAATCTGAAGGTCAGTGAGTACTTTTTAGGAGTACAGGAGATTCGTGATGAAGAAACTCTTTATCAGCCTGAGCTTCTAGGAGGCCCAGGCAAACATGGTGAACACTTCATTTACCAACATGTGACTATAAAAGTTTGCTTAGTGCAGTAGATACATTTGACTTTCTATCACATAAGAGTCCTAGGTTTCCAGCCACACTCACTTTCTCCACAGCTGCCGCTCATCGTAATCAGCCATCACTCCACACCTGCTCATTCGGAAGGACTGCTCTGCTGAGTCTAAAAGCTCCTGCCAGATGTTCTTCCAGTGTTGGGACATTATCATACCATTTGGTAATTAATTAAACCTGTTTCTAAACAGGTTTTGACTAACCCTTGTGATTTTCTTCAACAACTTCCACGTCACGTCTCCCAAGACCTCCTCGCTCCTTGTGACTCCGCTGCGACCCGATCTTGTTCTATAGGTCAAGGTTAAGGTTTTCTTTATTGTCATTCACTTCACATGTGGTACATGTGATGGAACAAAATTGTGTACACAGGATCCCAGTTACATCCAACAAAGTATAAATTGTAAAAGAAAAACAGTAATAAGATCTAAGATATGACCTAAGAAATACACTAAACACTTAACAGTACAAAAACACCGAACCAGATGAGTATGAATGAATGCAGCCGCATGAGATCAGCATGAGATCAGCATGAGATCTCATGCTTCAATCATCAAACAACAACCTGGATCAACAACATTGTGCCAACAACAACCAGCTCCACTCTCCACTGATACTCACCTCCCCTGGATCCTCAACTCTCCTGTGGAATAGGACCTTGTCTCCCACTCCTCTCTGGCTCCATCTACAAAACACATCAATAAGAAAAGATCACCTTCAAAACCCAGTCATTATTCTAAATCTAAAGAAATACAAAGATACTCAGCTTGTGCTTTTTACCCTTCCAGCCCCGAACTCTGGCACCTGTAAATCAAAACACTTCCCTTTGTACGCCTGGCTCTGTGTTCTTCTCAGTCTGCCAACCTTAACCATATCTAAAATCATGTTACCTGTGAGAGTCCCAGAGAGACTGTGAGCTGCAAAGAATGCTGGGTAGCCATTTGAAAATATGTGCAATGTTTCTGATTGTGTACAATGTTTGTGAGTGAAGGGATTGATTATTCTTGCTAATGCCCTGTTCAGGTTTAGTTTGGCATTTACTGTATGTTGAAGTCTTTGTTATTGGCTGTAAATTGACACCATGAGTCAGAGGTTTGTTTGTGCTGAATTTAGAAAAAGGTGAAAAGAGCAGAAAAGAAGCTAAAAAAACAACAAAAAAACTGAAACGAACAGGAGCTGAAGGAAGCTGAAATGAGCACAAACAAGCAGAACTGCAACAAAAGGTAAAAAGAACAGCCGACTTGGAACCAGAAAGTCCCAGGTTCAACTCCAGTCCCCGCCATGCCCACATGTCACGATGCCCTTGAGCAAGACACCTAATCCCTAGATGCTCCTCGGGTGCTTGAATAGCCGCCCACTGCTCCACGTGGGTGTATCTCACCTGTGATGGGTTAAATGCAGAGAACTAATTTCGTCATTATATGGGAACATATAATGATGCAACATATAACACTATAAAGGTTGTAAACAGCACAAAGGCTTTGAAGAATGTAAAGAGAGCTCTGTTTATTTTCAGTGAGGAAAAAATTGCAGAAAAAGCTAAATATAAAAAAAAAAAGCAAATTGCTTAAATACCAAACGTCTTAGCAGGAATGAGCTGAATGTTCTGAAATATGAATTGTTAAAATAGCTCAAGAATTACAGATCATGTTAGATGCTGAAAAACCTACAGAAAGATTTAAAAAAACTCTCAATAGGCTGAACGCTTTAAAAGCATTCAGGCAAGCATTTAATCTACTGGTGTGTTGCTGCAGCAGTTCCGGCAGCAAGTCTCTTCAGGTGCTTCCTTTAACTCTGACCAGTTTGCAATCCCCACAGAATGTTGCTGCCACCACCATGCTTCACTGTGGAGAAGGTGTTCTCAGCATGACAAGAGGTTTTAGGTCATGGAGTTACCCTTGAAGATTTTAAGTTCCATTTTAGTCTTATCTGACCACAGCTCATAAAAACATCTATCCATCCATCATCTTTACCCACGTCTTCCTTTTCAGGTCATGGGGGTTACTGGTGCCCATATTCAGCAATCACTGTGTGTACACCCTGGACAGGTCTCGTCCATCACAGGGACACGAGACAAACGAGACAAACAGCCATTCACTCTCTCACCTATGAACAATTTACCGGTAGAGTTACCAGTCAGCCTAACATGCATGTTTTTGGTCTGTGGGAGGAAACCAGAATACCAGGAGAAAACCCACACATGCACAGAGAGAACATGCAAACTCCACCCAGAAAAGCTCCAGGCCAGGACTTGAAGCGGGGCCACCTTCTCGCTGAGAGGCAGCAGCTCTACCAACTGCACCACTGTGCTGCCCCTTATAAAAATATGTAATCCATATTTTCATCTCCGTTAAAATATCAGCAATATATTTTTAATTTAACATGAGCTTTACATAATACAAGAGCAGCCATGATGAGGAGGGTAGGGTGAGTATTGCAAGTTTTTATTTGCAATTCACATCAAGGCTGTTAGAAGGCCCACTGTCTGTGCTGATAGGTTGGTGACAGGAATGATAACATGATACATTTATCAGCAGGTTGATGGACAGAAGTGCTTTTGTGTCAGAGTGATTTTCCTGGTTTTATCGTATGTATGCTGAAGAAGATCTGATTGCTTTTATTATGATTTCTATTATTTTTCTGACCAAAGAAGCACAATCAGCTGAACTAGTATTTGTGAGCATCAGTGTTATTAAACTTTCTTAAAAACTATTAAATTATTGCTTAAGGCTTCAAACACAAACAAGTTTTTTTCTGCGCAGACTGTTGTGGTTTCATTTCAAACTGAGCGTGAACGAATGAAAAGGTCACTTCTGTTTTTGGGTATGCTATATAAAAACCAGTCTGGGGCAGATCAGTCTAAACTGACCACAAACTTGTTGTTCAGGATATTCCAACATTTAATTCTGATTTTTAGGTCATGAAGCTTTTGCTTTCATCTGACTCTTGCTACTACGAGGCTACCACTTGTTCTGAGCTATCTTTACAACAGGACAAATGTTTAACTCTTCGGTGTCATTCACTTTAGTTTAGCCAGTTGTACTTAAATTAATTCAACCTTTATTTATACAGGTTAGTCCCATTGAGCCTCGAGGACTCATCTACAAGAGACACCTGATTTTAACAGAGTAATCACAACAGTAGACAAGGAAACATATAAATTAAGAACAAATGAAAGAAAATGATATTTAAAAATGAAACAAAAACAGCTAGGTTGTAAAGCAATGTAAAATACTATAAACAGGAATGTGTTTAAATTGGTTTTTGATTAATGAAAATTGATTGGAAATTGATTAATGGAAAATTTGAGTCTCCTTGGGTTAGAGACAGAGTCAGAGTTTCTTTATTTGTCATTCGCACCACATGTCATATATGTGGTGCAACGAAATTATATACACAGGGTTCCAGTTACATCTAACAATAAAATGTAAAAGAAAAACTAATAAGATCTAAGATATGAACTAAGAAAAACGTTAACTAAGAATAAACTAAGCACTAGTAGCATAAAAACATTACGCTGAACAGCAGCACGAACATGAGTCTGTGTGAGCAGATGAGCACGCATGAACACATCAACATGAAACAGATCAGCAGCAACATGATGTGATTTTTTTTCACAGTGATTATTCTGGTTAGAGATTCATGAGTCTAACAGCCTCAGGGTAGAAGCTGTTCCTCAGTCTAGTGGTTCTACACTTAATGCTCCTTAACCTCCTTCCTGAGGGGAGCGGGGCAAAAAGTGTGTGTGAGCTGGGTGAGTGGGGTCCTTCATGATGCAGGTGGCCCTCTTCCTGCATCTGGAGGTGTAGATGTCTGTGATGGTGGGGAGGATGACTCCAACATCTTCTGTGCAGCCTTCACCACTCTCTGCAAAGCTTTTCTTTCTGCAGCTGTGCAGCCTCCATGCCACACGTTGATGCTGGAGCACAGGATGCTCTCCACTTTTATTCAGTGAGGAAGTTCTTCTTAGCACTTTTACTGTACATACAAACTGTGCTAAATAATTTCATTAGTTTGTTACTTTCATTGTTAACTTGGATTAGGAAATTCCTGAAAATACACCATAGAAGCTGGAATTATTGTCACTGAAGTTATTTTACCATTTTACTTTGTTTGACATCTTTTATTTTCACACTGGTGGCATTGTGGTCATTCACAGGCGTTACAACTGTCAGGATTCCAGTTTCTGCTTCTTTTGCTTTTCACTAATCACCTTCCTACAGCTCATGAGCAACAGGTGCAGCTCATCACCTGCAGTTGCTGTTGTTGGTCTGACTAAGCATGACAGTAGGGAAGCTTAGTCACATACTGGCACTTGAGCGTTGGTTTTCCAACAGTGAATTCAAGCTACAGCCATTTTGGTTTTGTTGTGATTAAACCTATTTAATTAATATCTGCTTTCATGTTCTTTCAGTCACCCATTGAGAGAGCTTACCTTCGTCCCTCGAGCCACTTCCTGTGAATTCGCTCATCTGTGCCCCATCGTACAAAACCTGGAACCACTTGTCTTCATCACTCATTCTGAAAATACGAACTGGACATTACGGATTTCACCGATCACCTCTGGTCCCACTTGTTGCTCTCCCTCAAGCAACTGCTTACTTCCTAGAATCCATCTTCTACTAGCCCAGATCTGGAACCCTCCAACCTCCTCCTCAGCACCAGAAAGGGAAAACAGCAAAGTAAGATTCATTACCTTCTGTCTGAATCTAATAAGTGCTTCTTCATGATTACAAGTTACTCACCATATCATCCAGTTTGCAGATCCACCCGGTCCCATCACTCTCCATCACCTGAAAATAAACACTTTTTTTTCATTCTGAGTTGGCAAGTCTTTTTGGTTCTCAGAAAAATCTCTATTCAAAACAAAGCAATAATTCAGCAAAAATAACAATTTAGTTTGAAATTTTCTTTTAAGCTCCTGTTTCAGGTTCAGTCACTGGAAGCATTAGTTATTTTTTGATTGTGGAAAAAGTTACATGTTTGCACTGTAATGCTTTGCTCATTGAATCCACTAAAGTTTCCACACCAAGCAGTGTTTTGGCTTATGGACAGATTAAAGAAGTGAGACACCAGTTCTGCAATGATGTGTGCAGCTAGCCTTAAGAAATAAGAAGGAAGGTCATCAGGGCCTGCAGATTTTTTTTTTTTTTTTTACAATCTAGACTATTTAACAGTTAACCTCGCTAACAAAAAAACAGTGGAAATGAAAAGGTGTGGTTTACTGAAGATTGACTTGTAGGAGAGATATGATTTGTAAATGTTTGTGTTAAAGGATAAGTAGCTGGTTTTCCACTAGTAACTGTGGCAATCAAGGAAGTAGAAGCAACAAAATGTCTGAAACAGTTCAGGATCTTGTGCTTATTTAACACAGGAACAGAGTTAACAAGAAGTTGTGATGGCAGATCAGATGAATGAGAGCTTTCGGAGAGTGATTTGATGGTTTTCCAGATTATTTTCTGAAACAGACGAAATGATAAGTAGCCTGACCAACAGCTCTCCTTGTGTGAATAGAGCATGCTCCGCTTCTCTCACGCATCCTGCCCCCTTGCACCCCCCCCCCCCCCTTATTAACCTTTAATTTATCCATTAAGCATACAGTGTAATTATTTGATTCAATTAAATTCAATTCAAAAATATTTTTTTAATCCCAGAGGGAAATTAAATGTTGTAACTCATCATCCTGGTTTCATTAAAGAGTTGTCCTAGATGCTGATGACTGTGGGCCGGAAAGATCTCTTGTAGCGGTCTGTCTTACAGCAGATCTGAAAAAGTCTCTGACTGAAGACACTTTGTTGTTGTATGACAGTCTGATGAAGAGGATGCTGAAGGTTGTTTATAATGTTCTTCATTTTATGAAGAATCCTTCTTTGTACAATCATCTCCAAAGGTTCTAGAGGAATCCCAAGAACTGAGCCAGCCTTCTTTATGAGCTTGTTGATCTTTTTTAAGTCACTTGCTCTGGTGCTGCTCCCCCAGCAGATGATGGCAGAAGAGATGGCGCTCTCTACAACAGACTTATAGAAGATATGCAGCATCTTGCTGCAAATGTTGAAGGACTTCAGCTTCCTCAAGAAGTACAGTCTGCTCTGTCCCTTCTTGTAGACGGCTTCACTGTTGATTTCCAGTCCAATCTGTTGTCCAGGTGAACTCCAAGGTATTTATACTTCTCCACCACCTTCACTTCTTCTCCCATGATGGGAATAGGGTTGGACCTGTTCCTGTTTCTCCTGAAATCTACAATCATCTCCTTTGTTTTGTTTATATTCAAGATTAGATTATTGTTTCCACACCATACCACAAAGCAGTCCACCAGTTCCTTGTACTCAGCTTCTTGTCCATCTCTAATACACCCGGCCACTGCAGAGTCATCAGAATATTTCTGCAGACGACAGGAGTCTGTTTTGTACTGGAAATCTGAGGTGTACAGAGTGAAAAGGAATGGTGCGAGTACAGTCCCCTGTGGTGCACCTGGTTAGACACACAACCCTTCAGTCTCACAAACTGTGGTCTGTTTGTCAGGTAGTCTTTGATCCAGGTGATTGTTGTGGCCTCCACCTGAGTTTTCTGGAGTTTCTGACAAAGCAAATCAGGCTGGATTGTGTTAAATGCAATGGAGAAATCAAAGAACATGATTCTCACAGTGCTGTCTGCCTTTTCTAGATGACAGTGAGTTTGCTGAAGCAGGTGTATGATGGCATCCTCAACTCCAAGTCCACGCCTATAAGCAAACTGCAGTGGGTCCTGATATGTGTTTGTTTGTTTACCATACCATACCATTTTATTTATAGAGCACTTAAAACAGCGACAAGGCCAACCAAAGTGCTGTACAGACAGAACAACAGGTAACACACAAAGCAAAATACAAAATGAAGTAAATCAAAATATAGACAAAAACGATGCAGATAATGTTGACTAACCAGTGTGGAGCATACAGGATCTCAAAACAGATCATCTGGTGTTGAAAGCCACTGAATAGTAGTGGGTTTTTAAATGGGACTTGAAAACCGAGAGGGAGGGGGCCTGTCTGACAAGCAGAGGTAACTCGTTCCAGTGTCTTGGTCCTGCTACGGAGAAGGCCCTGTCACCTCTGCGCTTAAGACGAGTTCCTGGAACTGTGAGGAGCAACTGGTCCGTTGACCTCAGGGAACGTGGTGGGACATACGGTTGTAGCAAATCAGAGAGATGGGGGGGGCGACTGTTCAGTGATTTGTAGACATACATGAGTATTTTGAACTGGATTCAAAAGTGAACTGGTAACCAGCGCAGTGAGGCCAAAAACTGGTGTAATGTGCTCTCTTTTGCCTGTACTGGTTAAAAATCGGGCTGCAGCATTCTGGACCAGTTGTAGTCGTGCAATGGAGGTTTGACTGATACCAAACAGGAGCGAATTGCAGTAATCAAGCCTAGATGTAATGAATACATGTATTACTGTCTCCAGGTTATTTTTGGACAATATGGGCTTCAGTTTAGACTGCCGCCTCAGCTGGAAGAAGCATGATTTAACAATCATGTTTACATTTTTAGTTCATTTCAGTTTAGTCAGGTGGGCCAACAAGAGTCTCTCTAGGACCTTCATGATGTGGGATGTCAGGGCATCAGGTCATTGAGGACTGATGGGTGAGTTTTCTTTGGTACTGGAACAAGGCAGGAGGTTTTCCACAACACTGGAACCTTCTCCTGGGTCAGACTAAGGTTGAAGAGGTGCTGCAGAACCCCAACGAGCTGCTCTGTACAGACCTTCAGGACTCTGGGACTGACACCATCTGGACCTGCAGCCTCTCCAGCTGCTTCCTCACCTGACTTCTAGAGACGCAGAGGGGGGGGAGGCAAAGGAGGTATCAGAATCTTCTGATTTGGTTGAAGACCAATATGTAGAAGAAGGGTCCATGACTGAGGTGGTAGATACAATATTTAAGGTGTGACAGCACAGCTTTGTGTCAAAGGAGGGTGGTACATACATACTCTATGTTTGGCTTGTGGCAAGAGAGAAGGATGCTGAGCTTGTTCCTGAACTGAATCTATTGAACAATGTGTTCAGTTCATTGGCTCTGTCCAGATTTCCATCATTCTGATCCTCCTTCTGAATCCTTCTCCTTCTAATTATGACAGAAAATGGAAGATTTATTTGCAGTTACCTTCGTACAGACGAACATGGTACAGGTATACAATCCAACAATTTTTAATCAGGTCATCTGGACAGTTTTTATTTTTATTGTATACCTGGGTTATTGAGCATGGACTTTGTTGCTTTTGAACTAGTTTGACATGACTGTCGACGAGGGAGAGGGCCTGCACCGGAGGAGGGGGCATGCCAAAGAGACCATCTAAGCACCAACATAACTGGTTTGTTCCACTTTGGAGTAAGCTGTTGGGGGAAGAATCAGTTTTGTGTTGTGTGTTTCCTTGACTGATGAAGCCTTCTGGATTGAAGGTGAAATGTTTCAGCACAAAAAAAAAAACTGTCCAGATGACCTGACTGAAAATTGTTGGATTGTATACCTGGATTATTGAGCATGGACTTTGTTACTATTCTGATGATTTTTCACAAAATCCCTCTGATCACCAAGCGTTTGTAAAGCAAAACCAAGAAAATGTTGTTGGAGGAAAAGGGGGTGGAGCTCCTGCAGGTAAGGGACATTTCACTTTGGGACAAATTGAGGTCGCCTGTTGGTCAGTTGCCGACGAGCCTACTGGACTGATTGACAGAGGGTGTTGAGGATTAGACTCGTGCAAAAAACAACAAAAAAAAACAAACATAGATTTTACTGGCCCATTTAAGTTATCATTTATTCCATCCATCCATCCATTATCTTTTACCCGCTTATTCCATTTTGGGTCACGGGGGTCGCTGGTGCCCATGTCCAGCAATCACTGTGCGAGGGGCGGGGTACACCCTGGACGGGTCGCAAGTCCATCACAGGGCCACATAGAGACAAACGAGACAAACAAACATTCACTCTCTCACTCACACCTAGGGACAATTTAGAGTTACCAATCAGCCTAACATGCATGTTTTTTTTGGACTGTGGGAGGAAACCGGAGTACCCAGAGAAAACCCACGCATGCACGGAGAGAACATGCAAACTCCACCCAGAAAGGCCCCTGGACCGGGGTTTGAACCAGGGACCTGCTCGCTGAGAGGCAGCAGCTCTACCAGTTGCGCCACCGTGCTGCCTCATTTATTCCATATTTATTCCAAATTTGTTCAATATTTTGGTGAATCTATTTGAGAACTGAATTTTTGACAAACTCCTAATGATGGTTTCATAAATTTTCAGGGGTGCCGAGTTAAAATTTAGGGGCGGATTGAGCACCCCCAAAAAGAAACTAAAATCACCACTGGTACAGATGCTGTCCTTCTGGTCCTGACTGACAAAATTAAATAGCATGTTGACTTTCTTTCAGCCATGCATCTCCAGTAGCATTTAATGGTCTCCCATTTCAGAGTGAAGAGAGGTAATTGGAAATACCCTCCGACTGTGCATGTGTTAAGCATGATAACTTGAAAATAAGTAAG